AGAGAGAGAGAGAAGCTCTTATTCCGTAGTTCAGGCTGGCCTTGAACTCACTATGTAAGTCAGCAGGCTGGCCTTGAACTCACAACAATCCTCCTGCCTCAGCTTCCTGAGTGCTGGGATTATAGATATGCACCACCATGCCTGGGTTCCCTTAGTATATTTAATAATAAATATATCCATGAATGAGTAGGATTTGTACTCTCAATACTGGCTTGTAAAACAAGATGCTTTTGAGTACAAGAAAAGCAAATAAAACCCAAACCAACTCTAATTTCAGCTGGCTTAAACATTAGAGATGTACTTTGATCTGGGCTCTGGTGATGTTTTTTATAAACTTCTGGGTTCTGATTTTCTTCATGTCATTCTTCACAAAGTAACTCCCAGCAGAGACTGGTAGGTATAGGTGGTGTGTTCAGGTCTGATGGCAGAGAGAAAGGCTTTATTCTTTTACCAGTTGAAGAGAAGTTCTGAGTTTCACTACAATTTGACTAACCATTTTCAAGTAGTAATGATACGAAGTGATAGGTATAGGCTTTTGTTATAGTCAGACCCTTCAGTAGGTCAGAAGGATGGTTTTATCCTGATTGTTTTAAGGTACTAATGATCCATTTTTGAATGTTGATATAGGATAAGTATAGGTATAGACTAAACTGCTAAACAATGGGATATGATGTGTGAGGAATATACTCATGCCTTCTTCTGTGGCAAGGATGATTCAGTTTTAAAATCTATTGGTATGATTCTCCACATGTTATGGCTTGTGTCTAGAGGTCACCCCAAAGCCTTATGAGGTCAGAGGTGGGGGTTTTCAGAGGTAGTTGGATCTAGAGTGTGCAATGCTTGGATCAAGGATATGTGATTACTAAACTAGTCCATTGGTTTGGCATATTTTTGGGACTAGATAATGGCAAGGCCCTCTCTAGGGGTGAGTGCTTCCCACTGTAAGGGCGTGTAGTCTAGACAGAATATAAGGGAGAAAAAGAGGGCTGCTGTGACTGCTTGCTGCTTGATACTTTGCATCTTTGCTGCCTTTCTTCCTTCTGCCTGTCATGAACTGTTTTTCCTCTGTGATGCCCCTCTGCCATGCCACCCTGCCATGGAGCCAGCCAACTGAAACCTCTGCACACTATAGCTGCAATAAACTTGTCCTCCTTTAACTTTGGTTGTCAAGTATTTTATCTCAGGGACGAGAAAAGTAACTAAGACACCACATAAATTCATGTTAATCTGAGAACAAAAGGAAATTAACTTAAGTAGGTAAATATTATTGTTTTATCCCAATATTTTAGATATCTTAACATTAAGATGCATCCAAATAGGAATAATTAGAGTGTGATAGATGTTACCATGACCCTGTGACATTGTATTGGAGAATCAGCCAATGCAAGATGACTGGAAATAGAAATAAAGTATAATGGTTAGAAAGAAAGAATGAGAGAATTAGCTTCACAATTTGGTGGGGGAAATGATGGTTATTCAATAGATGGTGTTGGGGCAGTTGTTTCTTTTAATGTAGTAAAATAAAACGAGGTTCCTGACTCATCTAAAATTATTCTCATATCTAAAATGGTGAATCAAATATTTAAAAGTAAAAGATAAAGGGTAAAGGGTGTAGCTTAGTGGCAGAACACTTGCCTAGCACACACAAGGTCCTGAGTTTGAACACTAACACTGGGGGGAAAAGTGAAAAAATAAGCCTGTAAGAAGAAAAATTTTTTTAAAATGGGAGAAAAATTGGGGAATATTCTTGTGATGTTACAGTAGAAGAAGCCAAACCAGAAAAGGCAGGGATAACTGTATTTTAACACATAAAAATTTAAGTCTTCTAAGTGAGAAAGACACTGTGGAAGAATGGTTCAACAAATGACAGGCCAGGTAGAGGAAGATGTGTGCAATATTTCGGCCGGGGTGTGGTTTGTTGTCTAAGACTATCTCTTAGACACATTACATTAGTAAGAAATCACATGCTCACTTTTTGAGCATGGTTAAGTGGGAGAATCTGGGCAAGAAGACTCAAAGTTCTTATTATATAGGCATACTCATTGTTAGCTTTAAATTCAAGGGAACTTTATTATATATATAATATATAATATAATGTATAAATGACATGTAATATATATATTTATATATTAAAAAATATTTTTTGAGACAGGGCTCACTGTGTAGTTCAGGCTGGCCTTGAACTTGCAGCAGTCTTCCTGCCTTAGCCTTCAGAGTGCTAGGATTACAGGTGTGTGCCACCATGCCAGGCAGTACCATATATTTTTATATGTATACACACAACATATTTTTATTACATATTTAAAACAAGATTGGAAGTAAATGTTACAAAGTATTCTTAGTTTTTGATAGAGGTTACATAGGAGATTATATTATTCATTGTTCTTTGTTTTACCTTTAAATTTCTTAAGTCCCACCTCTGCTAAAAAAACCCAAGACATACCACGAGTCCACATTTGTATGATTAAATTATTTTTAGTTAATACATTGTCTTAGTTACCGTCCTCTTTGCTGAGGCACAGTACTGGGGACACACAAATTAAGGGAGGAAAGGTTTATTTTGGCTCACAGTTTGTTGGTTTCAGTCCATAGCAAGCTGGTTCTAAGGTGGGGCAGCCTGGGAGGGGCCTGGCAGAGAACTGTTCAATGCATGGCATCATGGCATAGGGAAGCAGAGAGAGATTAAGGGAAGAGGAAGGGAGACAGACTTCTCCAGGCCACACCTCCGGTGACATGCCTCCAGTGACACGCCTTCCCACCAGGCTTCACCCCTTAACATCACATTTAGCATAAACTAATCAGTGGATTAATGCACTGATGAGCATCACGCCTTCATGATCCAGTCACCTTTCAGAACCCCCCACCTATAAATCCATGAGGCTTTGGGAGAACATCCAGATACAAACCATAACCCGCATTAATTGAAAGGAGGGAATACTTTCTATTTTCTAATGTGACTTTGGAATTATTGGAATGAACTCTTTCAGTGACTTAGGATATGATTCCTATTTCTGAGCATATTCTTCAGAGAATGTTTCCTTTTATATTCTGAACACCCATTACCCTGAGTACATTATGTTTCACTGAATATCTGTGTGGGTAAGAAGAATCTTCTTTGCTTTACAAGTAAGTTTTCTGTATTTTATCCCCTGGGCATATATTTTTAGTTTTCATGTTCAATAAAAGAACATTTCTTCTGCCTTTTCTTAGTTGTAATCAACATAGTGTTTCTTAATAGAACTGTGGTTGACTTTAAATGACAGATAACTTCAGTGGCAGGAAACTATCTGTGAACTAGACTGAAGTGACCTAAGTTGAACAGTAAATATGTGGTGTTTGCCAGGTATAAAACTAGGTTGATGAGAGCTCTTGTTTAAACATTTTGATAGGCCGGTTTTTGTCATTCATTGTTCTTGTATTCTAGCTATGTAGATTCAACTCTGACAGGAAATCTTTGCTGGTTTACTCCTATGTGCTAAAACGCTGTTTGAATATAAAGATGAGTCTACTCTCTCATACCCTTTGTTATTCTTTGCAACTCTCTGCTGAGGAATGGATGAGGCAATTAAAAAATGTGACTTGAATAGATAGGGCTGATTTATATTTATTTAGGTGGAATTGAACCACTTACATTAGTGTCTGATTTTTGCCAGGCCTGCAAGTCTGGCCTTGCTAAAAGTGTTTTTGCTGTTTGCCTGTTTTACTCAGGATTTTCACTAGTCATAATCTGATAATTACCATGAGTTTTGTCTGTATGAAGGTTGCAGTTATGATACATTTAGTTGTGGATGGGAGAGAGTTAAGGTAGTGCCCAGGACTACGTGTATTTGTTAGGTTGCTGAAAGGACTATTAACTCTGTTTAATGATTAATTCATTTTATTTGTAGCGAATGTTCAGTCTTTGGACACTGTTAACTTCTGGTAATACAAAGAGGCTAGAACAGTTTCTGCCCTTAAAGAGCTGTATATTCTTTGCTACTAATTCGTCTTATTTTAAGCCTCTATGAAGTTTAAGGCATGATATCTCGAGTTCAGAGCTGGATTTGAACCTTACCTCTACCTTGTTCTGACTCTGTGGCCATGGATAAGTCACACAACTTCTCAAAGAGGGGCATGGCAGGCAGGAAGCAGTAGGCCTTCCTTCTTCTTTCTCTTTTTAGTCCATCCAGGCTACAAGCCTACTGATTGCTGCCACCCACACCCAGGGTGAGTCTTCCCTCTTCAGTAAGTCCATCATCCACACCAGAACTGTGCTAAATCAGGCAGTGGACTAACCCAGTTTCACACCCTGTGGTCCAGCATCACACACCCATGATTTAGGCACTCCCAAAAGGCCCACCTGTGAGTGCTTGAGGCTTTAGGGGACAACTACATGTAAGCAATAACAACCAATA